ACTGGAAAAGACTTCTTGCAGAAGGTAGGTCTTCAGCTAATGCTCGAAGGAAGGCAGAGAAGCCAGGAGGCAGAGGTGAGCAGAGAGAGTGTTCTAAACATGTGGGCTAGCCAGTGAAAACTCTAGGAGCTGGGAGTACACAGAACCTCAGTTTGGTGGATGCCATTAGATTGGGAGCTCCTTGAGGGTAGGAATTGTTTTTTGCCTTTCTTTGTATATCTAGCACATTGTAGATGTTTAATAAATGTTGATTGTCTCTGACTCTGACTATCACAACACACAGTTCTAAATAGTGAGCAGGTAGGGCAGCTAGATGGCTCAGTGGAGAGAGTGCTGAGTCTGGAGTCAAGAGGACCTGGGTTCTAATTTAGCCTCAGATACTTACTAGCTGTATGACCCTGGGCAAATCATTTAACCTCTGTTTGCCTTAATCCACTGGAGAAGGAAATGGCAAACCACTCCACTATCTTTGACAAGAAAAGCCCATAAACAGTACGGTGTATGGCAGGGGTAGGGAATCTGTGGCCTTGAGGCCACATGTGGCCTTCTAGCTCCTCAAGTGCAGCCTTTTGATTGAGTCCAAGTTTTACAGAACAAATCCTTTTATTAAGGGGATTTGTTCTGTGAAGTTTGGATTCAGTCAAAGGGGTGCACTTGAGGACCTAGAGGCCCACATGTGGCCTTGAGGCCACAGGTTTCCCACCCCTGGTCTATGGGGTCACAAAGATTTGGACTCAACTGAATAACAACAACATGTAATAAGGATATTTCCACATTCCGGCTGGCTAACATTGCTTTGCCCATGCAGACATAGTAACAACTCACTTATTTGAAGACGGGTTGCTTATGTGATAAACTCAACAACCTGAAACACTGAAAACCTGCTAGTAAGCCAGAAAAAGCGGTGGGGGTGGGAGAAGCTTTTGAGCAGTCAAAATAGGTGTTGTAAGAACCAGAAGGTTTATGTACTTTATTCATTGGAAAGGTGCTTCATCCCTCACTAATAACACTTTTGCTTATTTGTGATGCAGTTTTAACTACCTTGGTGATGTGTGTGTATGTATGTGTGTATTTTACGTATGTATTTTTAGTCTTGAACAGATTAGAAAGGAAGGAAAGGAGCTCCTGGTGGTGGGAACTCTAATAATGGCCTAAAGTGACAACAAAAGAAAACAATATATACATATACTATAAGAAGCAGACAGAAGAAATGAAAAAGCATTTTTGCATGGAGATAAATAACCTTATATATCTTGGAAATATTACTGATGTTCACTATGATTAATTATCCTGAGTCATGAAGAAAAGTTCAAGCATATTCTGTGCAATAAATCAAGGAAGTAAACAATATTTTTGTAGAAAGATTTCCATCTAAAGTGGCTAAAATTTTTTAAAATTGGTACTTGAAGTGGGTAAGCTTTAATTATGCAGAAAATTTGAATATTTGAAATATTTCTATTTTCCTAAGGCTGCATAAATCTAATCCAATCTGATAAAAATTTATTAAGCAGCTACTGTGCTAAATTCTAAAAAGAAAGATAGTTCTTACCCTCAAGGAGCTTACAATCTAATGAGGGGAAATGACATATAAAAGGAAGCAGAAAAACAAGGATAAGGAGAGATACCAGGACCCAGCACAGGGGCATCTTGTTCATTAGAGTAGATGCAAAGTGGAGTGAACCAAAAGGTCCAATTTCTACCCTCTATAAAGGAAGGCATTGGAAGGAGTTTGGTACTCTACCTTGTAGCCCTCTAATCAGAGGGGAGAATATGAGGGAGGTAGAACCACCAGTTTGGCAGCAAGAATGACCAGAAAAAAAGGAAATTGAAATCAAAACAAAAGGAAACAATCATGAGGAGGATAAATGGCTTAGAAAAGAAGATAAAAAACCTTACCCAAATAATGAAGTTCTGCTTTTAAAATTTTACCTGAAGCATGATGAATTTTGTTCTAGACACTGTATGAATCTTTACACTTCAGGTGTGTTTCTTGTAAAAACATATTATTTGATTCTGTTGGGTTTTTTTATCCTTTGCTACCCTTATGTATTTTATAGGCAAATTAATTCCATTCAAGTTCAGGATTATGAATATTAATGGTATATTTTCCCTTCCACCATATCCTTTTATACGTTTTTCTTTATCTTGCCCTTCTTGTGAAGAAAGGGATGGAGAAAAAGAAAGAATTTGCATTAACACTAATGGTCTATAATTGGAATAGTCTGATAGGTGGTGAAGTAGATGGAGCAGCGGTACTATAGTCAGTAAGATCTGAGATCAAATCTGGCCTCAGATACTTGATAGCTGTGTAGCTCTGGACAAATCACTTAACCTCTATTTGCCTCAGTTTCCTCAACTATATAATGGGGATAATAATAGTACTTACCTAGCAAGGCTGTTGTAAAGATTATACAACATAATATTTGTAAAGCACTTAGCACAGTGGGCTGACATATAGTAGGGGCTATACAAATGCTTATTCTCTTCCCCTGCCCCTTTTCTCTTCATGAAGTCCAATCCACAATCTATGGTTCTTACACTTTTTTTTTCTCTATTTTAATCCCGACTTTATTATCAGTCCTCTAAAGTTTATGTTTATTTTGTTTGTGACTTTCCTCTCCCTGACCTGGAGGAAGATCCAGCAAATGAGACAGAGAAGGAGCAGTCAGATAGGTAGGAGGGGAATAAGGAGAGAAGGGTGTCCCAAAAATCTAAGGAGAAGAAAGCATTAAGGAGAAGAAGGTGATCAACAGTGTCAAAGGCTGCAGAAAGGTCAAAGATACAAGGACTAAGAAGAGGACATTGGATGTGTAAAGTGAGAGATCACTGGTAACTTTGGAGAAAGCAGTTTCAGTGGAACTATAAGGTCAGAAGCCAGAGTGAGAGGAGAGAAAGTGGAGGCAACTATTATAGATGGTCTTTTCAAGGAGTTTAGCTACAAAGGGCAGAAGAGGTCTAGAACTAATAGTTAGAGGGGATGGAAGGGTCAAGTGAGAGTTTTTTCAGGATGGAGAAGACATGGGCATGTTTGTGGGCAGTAAGAAAGGAGCCGAGAGAGAGAGAGAGAGATTGAAAATAAATGAAAAGAGTAGGGCTGAAAGAGGGGGCAATCTGTTGGAGGAGACTGGATAGAATGGGATTAGCCTTGGTAAGGAGTAAGGCCACTTCATTATGTGAGATAGATGAAGGGGGAAATGGCAGAAGGCACCTGAATGATAGGAGATGGGAAAGAGAGCAGAAGTGGGAGTTCCCAGCAAATGACCTCAATGTTTTCTGTAAAATGTGAAGAAAAGTACTCAAACTAGAAAGTGGGGGGAGGAAGAGCCATGGGAGGTTTGAGGAGGGATAAAAAGGTTTGGAAGGACCACTGAGGAGAGTGAAATAGTGGATTGATAAGGGAGGTATAGCAGGATTGCAATGAGGGCCCAACTGAGGTTATGAAACATGAATCTGTAGTGATCTAATGCATGGATTCTCTCTACCTTCATTCGTGTGTATGTACATGTGTATGAACATTGGTGCAAAAGTATTGAATAAAATATTAGCAAAGAGGCTACTGCAACATATTTAAAAAGATTATACCCTATGACTAAGTTAGATTTAAACCAAGAATGCAAGGCTAGTTCAATGTTAGTAGAAAAATTATGGACATAATAGAACATATTAATAACAAAACAATACACATTAAATGATTACGTCGATAGATACAGAAAAAGCTTTTGACAAAATATCCCTTTATATTAAAAACACTAAAAAGCACGGGAATAAATGGACTGGTTTTTAATATGATAAGTAGTAGATACAGGTCTCCAGTGATGAGCTACATTATAAATATATAACATCATTAGTTCACATTGCAACTTTAGGCCACTAAAATCTCTAGGTCTTTTTCACATGAAATTTTTCTTGTCTTATTTATCAAAATGATTTTTATTATATGTAACCAGTGCCCATGCCTCTTATCTGTTTGAATTATTATTTTCCCCAATGGCTAGCATTTCCTCTTCGTACGTGGCATCGCTTAATAAATGTATATTCATTGATCATCCCTTAGTTTAGATTCAGAATCTAGCCACTGTGAGTTTTAATTTGCTAACTAAAGCCCTGAAGCTTGGCAGGGTGATAGGCTGGCATGTAGAGAGGCAGACTTACTTATATCTACTGGGACACAGCTGATGAAGCCATTTGGCTGGTGATCAATTGCTTAACTTGGCCTTGTGATAAGTATAGCTCCACCTGGTGGACCAACCAAATATTATATTCCTTTACTGAAGCAGCCACGTGGGCTGCTGTTGCTGTTACAACAACCCAGGTGTCACTTGAGATACATACTAAGTGCAAATACAATCTCCATCTTGCCTGATATATTTTGATTTTGGCTTGGAGTAGGTTATGGATGACATGACTAACACAAACTGTTATTTTTAATTTTTGTAATTTTTCTGGAAACTTTGTTTTCTCTTCAGAGAAAAAAAGTTTTTAGGGAAAAGAAAATTCCCTCTTTGGGATTTCCTCTATCAGGTTCACTATACTTTATAGGATGACAAATACAATGTGTTTGTGAATGTTCTTGGTTAATAATCCAGTAAGCTACAAGCAGTTGGTAATGGTGCTGCTGATTTGCATGTAGAATGGATTTCCTGGATATTACTTGACTTTTTTGTATACTCATTATTGGTGTATACTTTGCTGTTATTGATATTTGCATTTACATGGCTCTGGGTACGTTACTTTGAGGTATACTGCTATATAGTGTTGATCATATGCACATATCTGTTTCACTGTTTCTATTTGTTACGTGTTAGAGCATGTTTGATTGTTTTTGAGTTATTGATTTGCTGAATACAATTATAATTAAAATTTGAATGAAATAGTTGTCAAAACTCGAGAAATAAAGGAAGGAATGAAGCATTTATTAAGCGCTTACTATGTACAAAACATTGTGCTAAGAGCTAGAGATACAAATAGAGAAGTCAGATAGTACCTGCCCTCAGGGAACTCACATTCTAACAGGGAAGACCACACATATGGAAGGTTTCAGCTGCAAGTCAGATGGAAAGGCCGGGTGGTCCATAGGGTACAACCACAAAGCAGATGGTAATGGGGGATGCTGCTATTCCCAAGTCTCTTGTGTTCTTGATGCTGGGCTATCTCCATCAGTGTCCAAGAGAAGATGGCAGTCAAAGTGATGGTGGTGGCTGAACTTGCTTGCCTCCTTTATCTCTCCCAGGACGCCCGGCTGCTTCAGCTAGGCTGACTTTGCCTACCATGAAAGCAGCAGCTGGTTGGTGGTTGGTGGGGATAGTAAACCTCTTCTCCACAAGAATTGCTTCCCCAGATGATGGTCATGAGGGCTGATGAGGTAAAGAATGGGTGTAGAAACAGGAAGCAGTTTTTTAATCCTTAGGAATAGTCCCTGAGTGTAAAAAAAAGAATATTAAAACAATATTGTGTGACATAGATGTACACTGTGAATCTACTTGGTGGGATTGCCAATGTGATAATTGGGATATTGTAGGAGCGCAAGCAACCTACGCCAGTTCACCTACTTCCTTCTATAATCTTTTAGAAAGGTTTGGGCGTTATTTTATTAATTAGCTACCAAGAGGGTGTAATAAAAAAGTTTCTCACCAGGTGGCACCATTCTCTATCAACTATCCCATTGATGTCAGTTTCTTTGATGCACGTGTAGGAAGTCCCTTCAAAAGCATATGCTTTTTCTACCCACCAAAGCCACACAGCTTCAAATGTCTGGACAAAAAAACCTCTGAACTTTTGCTGACTGGGTTACAAATTTTAGACTTTTTTTGTTGCTCAGAATTATCAAAAATAGGAAAACCTGTAGCCCTAGGGCCCCCATTCCCGCATCTGAGAAATTTCTTAGCTTAATTTTCATAAAGTAACAGGAACTGGCATAAACTGTCACCATTTCCTATTGACATAATCCCCTCAACGAACAAGGTTGTCAGTAAGAGTTCAGAAACTGCCTCAGGGGGCAGCTAGGTGACTCAGTGGATACAGCACCGGCCTTGGAGTCAGGAGGACCTGAGTTCAAATGCAGTCTCAGACACATGATACTCACTAGCTATGTAACCCTGAGCAAGTCACTTAACCCTGATTGCCCTACCAAAAAAAAAAAAAAGGAAGGAAAAAGAAAAAGAAAAGAAACTGCCTTAGGCAGCAAACTCTTATGAGGCAGCCTGGTACCTGGAAATGATGCTGTATTTGGAGTCAGGAGGCCTAGCTTTAAATACTGGCTGTACTGTTATGTAAGGCTAGGCAAATAGTTGTACCTCTCTGGGCCATAGTTCTTCATTTGCAAAAGGAAGAGATTGGATTAAATGGTTTTTTAAGGTCGCTTTCAGATATATAGATAGAGCTAGCATTTACATAGCACTTTTAAAGCTTGTAAAGTGCTTTACATATGTTAATTCATTTGATTTTCACAACAACCCTGTGAGGTAGATGCTATTATTCTTCTCATTTTACAAATGAGGAAACTGAAACACAGAGGGGTTGAGTGACTTGCCCAGGGTGGCACAGCTAGTGAGTATCTGAAGCCAGATTTGAAGTTAGGCCTTCCTGATTTCGAGCCCTCCCCTTCAAGTCCACTGCACCATCCAGCTGCCTAAAATCACAAAACTATAGTCCTCTCTATCAGGGATCAATCAGCAAATTATGGCCTATGTGCCAAATGCTCTGCTGCCCATTTTTGTAGGCCCTGAGGCCTAAAAATGTTTTTTTACATTTTGAAATAAAATTTTATTGTATTTAAAAATGTAAAAATTATTCTTAGCTCGTAGGCCACAGAAAACAGGTGACCAGCATCCCTATTCTATATTTACATGTGGCACCCTCTTTGGGCCCACTCCCTTCCCCAACTCATACACCAAGGTTGAGTGCCTTGGATGGGTAATTGGTTCAAAGGTACTCTGTAGTCTGGGAAACTCTTAAAACTCTAGTTCATGAGCCCCCTCCAATCAATTTACTTTTACTAGGCAGCCAAGAGACATAATTAGTTCAGAACAAAGGCATTTACCAAGATGGCCCAGAAGGAACAGTAGCTACAAAACATTCACTCTATAAACCTGGGACACACTCCCGCACATACACACAGTGTCAGTGGGAAGAGCAGGCATAGAGTTGTTCTCTAATACGTAGAGTGTGTTCACTAATAATGAACACAGATGTAGGGAATATATGTGGTTAAAGCAACTCATGCCTTGGGTACTACTATGGGGCTCCAATGTCTTTTCTTTCTCATGATGTCCTCATGCCATTCCTCCTTTAATATAGCATTCTTTTAATATTACTTAGCTGGCCTTCCTGGACTTGCTCCTTGGCTCCATGGCTCTACTTCCTAACTGACATGCTTATTCTTGAACCCACAGTTGGCTCTCTTTTTCTGCTGCCAAGAGTCACTTTTCTTTTTTTGGCTAAGCAATGGTGTTTAGTGACTTGCCCAAGGTCACACAGGTGGTCAGTGTTATATGTCTGAGGCTGGATTTGAACTCAGGTCCAGTGCTCTATCCGCTGCTCCACCTAGCTGCCCCAAGAGTCACTTTCTTCAAAGCTGCCTCCATTGACTGTCTCTTTCTGAGCCTGCTATCTGTTGGCATGGTGCTTAAAAAGCTTTGTAAAGGCTGGCCAATGGGAAGCTGCCCTTCTAATTCCATCAAGCTTGATTGAAGACTTCTTCATACCTTCTAAAGGAGTTAATGTAACCTCTTCTCTGCACTTTCTTTAGAACTCCAATACCTCCTTGTCTTTGTTGTCTGCCCCTTACATTCCATGATTATAATATGTACAGGGGAATTGGTTGATCAGAGGCTTCCTGACCACTTTTTCCCTATATATATATATATATATATATATATATATATATATATATATATATAGTTAGTTAGTTAGTAAATAGGTAATCAACTTTCTGTATTCATATTGTTTATTTAACATAGTGAAGATGCAATGGAAAAATTTTTTCAGTGCCCCTAGATGGGCACAACATCAACCATACCCCATAACTTTCTCCTATGCCCCTAGCTTGCAGAAAGGTAAGTGGTTGCTGATGGCCAGAATCCAGCCCTGAGGAGTAGCTAGATGACATAGTGGACAGAGCACCAGCCCTGGATTCAGGAAGACCTGAGTTCAAATGTTGCCTCAGATACTTGACATTTACTAGCTCTGTGACCCTGGGCAAGTCACTTCACCCCACTGCCTCACAAACAAACAAACAAAAAAACCCCCAGAATCCAGCTCTAGATCCTAGACTGAAACAGGTGAAAGCAAGGGGATAATAGGGTGGAGGAGGTGAAGAAAGGAATATGAATCCGGGCCTCCTCCCCAGGTAATGAGGTTTCTAATCTAATCTAATGAGCTATATTGTATCGGCCATCCCGTCTGAATTCACCTTCTGATGCTGGCCAGGCTTAGGATGAACTGCACCTGGTTCCAGCCCTTGCTTTAGCTCTCATTCTCATCTCAGTCCTCTGTCCAGTGTTTCTAGCATGAACTATCCCTGTCATCCCTCTGTCCCTTCCCTATCCCAAGGTCACAGTCTCAAAGGCAAAATGACAAGAAAACCTGTAGCATGAAGGTCAGTTTTTTCATCTGAAAAATAGGAATGGTAAAAATACTTAAACTACTTACTTCCCTGGGTGTAAGGAAAGTGTTTTAGTTTTATTTATTTATTTTTTGCTTTTTTGGTGAGGCAATCAAGGTTAGTAAGCTAGTAAGTATCAAGGGTTTGAGGCCAGATTTGAACTCAGGTCCTCCTGACTCCAAGGCCAGAGCTTTATCCACTGTGCCACCTAGCTGCCCCAGGATAGTGTTTTAGAAAACTTACAATGCTCCATAAATGTGAGTAGTTATTATTAATGGTAATTTGGGCCCACTTTTACCTATTGACATGTATGTCCCTCTGTACCTCACAACAAGAAGCCTGTACTCATGGGGCCAGTTTCTTCCTTGGTATCTCAAATGAATGGACAAAAATATGCAAACCATTTGTCTAAGTAAGTTTTTGTAGATTTGTGAGCTGGTGTTTCCGGTCCTTGTTTCTTGTGTAGGAAAAAGTCAATGCTTTCTCCCCAAGTGATGTGCATGCCGGGTGTTTCATTAGGAACCTGGTGGATCAGAGGACGAAGAATGCACTTACCCGGGCCCTGGTTCCCTTCTTCCTCTGTTGTCAGTTGCAAAGCTACTTTGACTAATGCTGCTCTCTTCACGTGGAATATTCTGCTCTTCTCTGAAAGCCCAGGTGACTTCTAGCTGGGGTAGGGAAGCCTTGCATAGAAAAAAGGTAGCCTTGAGCTTAAAACTTAAAAGACAGGTGGGATTTTGATAGGCAGATGTGGTCATTCTAGACAGAGGAAACACTACTAACAAACACACTGGGGTGGAAAAGCTTTTAGGAAACCCTGAGTGAGCCAGTTTGATGGTTGCTCCCAAAAGTTTGGCTGGGAGGGAGAAGAGGAAATTAACTTGAAAAGAGAGCCAGGGCCACTATGAACCACTTGACATGATCAAATATAGACTGGACTAGAAGAGGCAGAGATAAGAAGTAGAGAAAGCAATTACGAACAAAAATTGTAATGGTCCAGTTGTGATCTAATAAGGACTTGAACTGGGGTAAGGGTAAGGAGTAGTTAGAATGGAAAGGAAGGAAAATTGTTAAGAAAGAATTGACAGCACTTGGTGGCAGATTGTATTGGGGTGGGGGAGGAAGAGGAGGGAGCCTGGTAAGAGAGGAGAAAAAAGAGTCAGAACTTTGGAGCCTGACTGGGAGAATAGTTGAACTGTTAGTAGTGATATAAGGAGGGGGCAGGAGAATTAGTTCCATTTTGGACATGTTAAGTATTATCCCAGTCTCAAAATTCATTGGTATGGGACCATCTCCTCATCGGTGGAGATGAATGCCCTACCCTACGTAAGGAGGGGGATGGAGTTGGTGAAGAAAGCAAGAGAGCTCCAGCCTTTTACAGTCTTCTTCAAGTCCACTTCAAGTCTTGAGTCACTGCTGGTTCTTCTGGTTTCCAGCTCTGAGAAGGAAGATGGAAGAGGGTGATCTCACTTCAGGTTGCTGAAGGAAAAAACTCTGGGGAGACATGAAAAGAGCTGACAGTTTCCATCACGTCCCTATCCCTAGTTTGCTACACTAGAGACTTTGGGAAACCTCCCCTTGGGTGAAAGATCCAGAATTCTTCTCTTAGTTGAGCTGAGTTACTTCATTCCCAATGGGAGAGCTCTTTCATTCTGTATTGTCTAGTACATATTCTCCTATGTATACCTTCTATGATTTCCATTTTGCTACTTGGCATCCTCCTCTCCCTCCAATAATGACACAGTGATCAGAAGTTAGCTTGAACTTGATCACATGCCCTAGACTAGTAAAGGAGTGAGGCAGATGTAATTCTAGACTAGTGCTCCTCTCTGAGGAGACCACAGTGGCAGCCTCTGGCCTTCCTTTCCTGCACCCTCTGGCAGGAATTAAAGTCTCCCTTGGAGAAGGGTAGAGGGAAAAGAAGCTAGAGATGTCCATTCTGCCTCCCTTTGAGCCACACAATATGACAGATTCATGATACACGTGAGGGAACAGCCCTCACTGCACATGGGGCCCCTCCACACGTGGGCATCATTATGTAAGTTTGAGGTAACTCAGATGTCTACATGGAAATGTCCAACAGGCAATTATTCTAAACTTCTATTTATTCCCTTTATTACATCTACTAAATCACCAGCTTATCTGGCTCCAAGCAAAAAAAAAAAAAAAGGACTCTTTGTCATCTCACTGTGCAAGCCAATCATCAGTGAGTCACACATGGCCAGAAGCAAGGCCTATCCTCATGGCCCAAGCTTCCACATGATTGCTTGGAACTAAAAATAACAACTCTATCAGCAGTTCTCAAAGTGTGGTCCATGGTCTCCTGGGAGTGCGGGGCTGAGACCTTTTTAGCAGGGGTGGTGCAGTATGGGGTGTTTGCAGGGTCAGAATTATTTTCTTTTTCTTTGTTTTTAATAAATTTTTATTGATATTTCTATTTCTTATATAGTATCCCATGTATCCCTTCCTCTCTTCTTCCCAGAGAGCTCATATGACAAATAGCAATTTTTGGAGATGGGGAAGAAAGTCAACACAACTGATCAAAACATTGAAAGAGTTAAAAAAAAAGTATGATGTATAACATCTGTGAGATCTCCCACCTACACAAAAAGATAGTGTGTTATGTGTGGATGTCTTCTTACATCTTTTGATTTCAGTCCCACTTAATCTTTATAATATTGTCACATTTACTTTTGATTTTTTGGTATGTCATTGTTCTATCCATTTACATTGTTGTAGTCATTGTGCAAATTACTTTTTTGCTCTCTTCTTACTTCATTTTGTATCAGTTCATGTAGATCTTTCCATGCTTCTTTGTATTCATCACACCTATCATTTCTTTTTTTGCAAGGTAATTGGGGTTAAGTGACTTGCCCAGGATCACACAGCTAGTAAGTGCCAAGTGTCTGGTCTGAGACCAGATATGAACTCAGGTCTCCTGACTCCAGGGCTGGTGCTCTATCCACTGTGCCACCTAGCTGCCCCCCACACCTATCATTTCTTACTTTACAGTAATATTCCGTTATGTTCAGGTACCACAATTTGTTTAGCCCTTCTCCAATTAATAGGCATCTACTTTATTCTCAATTCTTAGCTACCAAAAAAAAAAAGCTGCTATAAATATTTTGGAGCATATGGCTTCCTTGGGGTATATGCTGTTTAATGGAGTCTCTGATTCAAAAGATATGAACCTTTTAGTCATTTTTTTTTGCATAATTTCAAATTGCTTTCCAAAATGTTTATGCCATTTCATGGCTCCACCAACAATATATGAGAGTGCCTATCTTTCCACAACCCCTCCAAAACTGACTTTGTCATTTTTTGCCAATTTGCAGCATGTGAGGTGAAACCTCAGAGTTGTTTTGATTTGCATTTCCCTTATTCTTAGTGATCTGGAGCATTTTTTCATGTGGTTGCGAAGACTTTGTAGTTCTTTTGAGAACTGTTTATTCATATCCTTTGACTATTTATCTAGTGGGGAATGGCTATTATTCACATATGTATATATTTACTAATTGTTTCTATGTCTTGGATACCAAATCCTTATCATGGAAATGTGATACAAATATATTTTACCCATTCCACCGCTTCCCTTCTTATCTTAGACACATTAATGTTGTCTGTGCAGAAGCTTTTCAGTTTCTTGGTGTATTTTTAGGGAAAAGTCTCTTACTGATTTTTCTGTTGCATTCAGTTGCTATTGCTGTCCTTGCCTGCTGCATTTATTCACTTCTGCAGTTCTGTTTGGAGTATTTGAGAGACATAATCTCTTCAGTTTTGATTTTCTTTCTAAAAAATGTTTCAAATTCTTCTTTATTATTGAGCAGTCATCTTTTGTTCTACATGAGTAAGCTCAGATTTGCAGGATAGGTCACCTTAGTTGCATCTAAACAGGCAGAACAGAAGTGTGTAGGGGAAGTTCTGCTAGGGCCTGGGTTCCACAGGGTGGGTGGAATATTCACTAAGCTTGGGCTCAGCTGCCTGTCTGGTTACTGATAGCTGATCTGCCTCTTGTGGATAAAGCTTTGGGCTATGTAACATGCCAAGGTATCATCACATCATCTTTCTAGGATGTTTCTTCACCATTTTCATTGCTTGGTTGTCTTACAGTAGCTTAGAGTGGTGAAAAGTGACAGGATCTAATGAAATAATGTTTGTGTAATCCCAGCTAAGACCATCTCCCATTTACATTTTCCCAAAATGTTTTCACAAAGATGGTAGAGAACCATAGGGCAGAGAAACTTGGTGGAAAATAATGTACATAGATGCATAGGAGAGCCCCAGGTTTTCAGTGGTGAACTTGAAGGGAACTTCTGCCCAAGGTTTTTGGGGTTCACACATCAGCAAGAAGAAAGAGAAAAAATATGCACATGTACAAAAATATTTATAAGCAGCTCTTTCTGTGGTGGCAAAGAATTAGAAATTGAGGGGATGCCCATCAATTGGGGAATGGCTGAACAAGTTGTGGTACATGAATGTAATGTAAGAAATGAGCACATAGACTTCAGAAAAGCCTGGAAAGACTTGTATATTTATTTATTTATTTAGCTTTTTGGTAAGGCAACTGGGGTTGTGACTTGCCCAGGGTCACACAGCTAGTAAGTGTCATGTGTCTGAGACTGGATTTGAACTCATGTCCTCCTGGCTTCAAGGCCAGAGCTCTATCCACTGAAAGACTTGTATAGAGTGATGCTGAGTGAAGTGAGCAGAACCAGAACACTGTACACAGTAACAGCCATGTTGTGTGATGACTGACTCTGATAGACTTAGCCTAGAAATTCTCAGCAATGCAAGGATCTAAGGCATCTCCAAAAGTCTCATGATGGAAAGTGCTACCCACATCCAGAGAAAGACTATGGAGTTTGAATGCGGATCGAAGCATACTATTTGCTCTTTTTTTCTTCTGTTTTGTTTTGTTTCCTCTTTCTTGTGGTTCCTCCTATTGGTTCTAATTCTTCCTTACAACATGCCTAATGTGAAAATATGTTTAATAGGAATATATACATAGAGTCTATATCAGATTGCACACCTTGGGGAGGGAGAAAGAGTGAGAGGGGGAGAAAAATTTAAAACTTAAAAGTATATAGAAGTGATTGTTTAAAACTAAAAATAAAATAATAAAAAAAAAATAAAACTTAAAAAAAGAGAGAAGAGACTACATCATTACAGTTTCCATGCCTCTCCTTGCTGAGCCCAGAAAGAAATGCTGGATGGACATCCTTTCCTCTATGACTGAAACTAGGGGAAAAGAAGTGAACTGAAGACTCTTTGTGGAGTGGGTATGGAGGAGAGGAGACAAGTGAAATGAGAGCAGATGGGTGAAGAAATGAACTAGAGCCAGGCAGAGGAGTGGAAAGCAAATCAGGCTTAGCTAGCAGCTTTGATTGGTGAGAATAAACATAGTCCAGGCCACAACTTCTTTCTTCTTCTTTCTTCCCCATAGACAGTGGTGGGGCAATTTTTACCCAAGGTTTTAATCTCAATCTCTTTTCTTCTGATCCCCTAAGAGTAGTTGAGAGAAGAGGTAAGGAGTAAAGGAGACTTTGACCTTAGCTGCAACCCTACTGCAACCTGCTATGTATTGCTTTAATATTGATGTGTATTTTTCTATTCTGTTTGATGCTGCAAGAAAATAACATTTCCTTTAACAACGGATTGTCTAATCCTTCGGATCTCAGGGTTTGAGATTCAGAGGGGAAGCCCATCCATGAGAAAAATAGAGGCTTGAGTTGATTAGTTGATTAGAGTTTTGAATTTTGGGGTAATTTCTTAGTATAGTCCAGTGTGTACTTGTTAGATTATCTTTGAACTTGGAGAGAAAGTTAATGTAACTGGAGTACCGAAACCCATTGGTACGAGATTCTCTTCTTATTCGTAAAGATCAGTGCCCCATACCTATGCAAGCCGTGAGATTGGGAGAGAGGAGAGTAACAGGTGCTTTGAGTCTCAAATTTCTTCTAGGCTCTTGAGTCTCTTCAGCTGTCCTGAGTAGCTTTGAACCTTCTTCAAACTTCTTCAGTGTCCTAGAGTCTCTTTGGGCTTTAGGCGCTTCTGGCTTCCAACTTTGAGAGAGAAGATGGACAATGCCAATCTCACTTCAGGTTGCTGAAAGGAAAATAAGATTGTGAGGAAGCCAACAGGAAAGGAGCTGGCAGTCTCCATCACATCCCTATCCCTAGATTGTGGCATGTAGGGTGTTCAGGGAAGACTAATACCTCTGGTGTGATGGCTGCTAAGCCCTTTTCAGAGCTGCTTTCCCCCTTTTGTGTCTACCTGATTCACTCAATTCTCACTAATGGTTCTATGAAACTGTAGCATGCTCAGTGGCCACACCTTAGTAAACCATTTCAGTAGACAGGCTAAACCAGGTGGAGGATAACTGATGGGTCTCAAACCTGTTTGTGAGTTAGGGTGTTGTTT